GTGTGTCAGGGAGGAGGGGTCTGAGGGTCAGGGAGGAGTCTGTGGGTCAGGGAGGAGGGGTCTGAGGGTCAGGGAGGAGTCTGTGGGTCAGGGAGGAGGGGTCTGTGGGTCAGGGAGGAGGGGTCTGTGGGTCAGGGTCGTCTGAGGAGGAAGCAGATGAATGGAGTTGCGCACGGGAACTTTTATTTAAGATTTAAGTTTTTTTTATTTCAAAGGTCCTCATGGCTCGGCAGCATAAGCATAAAAATTACTGTTAAGAAAGCTGATGATAAAGTTGAATAAAAATCTTAGTCTGATTATCTAGTGATCTTGATGCAGTGTGGCTCTAATTCCTCACTTCACCATCTGTGTCACAGTTTCTGTCTCCAAAATGAGCGTACGCATGGGTCAGAGCTGGCGTGAGGCACCGCACATTTTCACGTCAAGTTTGGATTTTATAAATCACAACCTTGGTGTAAAAAGTGGCGTACGCAAGTTTCTGGGCTCAAATTGTGCGTACGCCAGTTTTATAAATCTGACCCCTGGGCTCAAATTGTGCGTACGCCAGTTTTATAAATCCGACCCCAGGTCTGTTCAGAAAGACTTCAAGGCAGAAGCGTCAACTATTTAATAAGAGTTTACAAATATGTGTGGTGGTGTGCTACTTGTTTTGTGTTTTAATGTCTTTTAGTGAGCCTAAGATCTTGATGTGCTTTCTTTTCTTCACTGTTCTAACACAGGAGATTTTTTGTTTGACCTTTCAAAATAAAATGAAGGACACAACAAAGGTTTTAGCTATAAAAAACTTGCGTCCATTTGGATGCAACAGTTATGATGTTCTTATTGTCTTTCCTAAATTCACTGAGTTTTTGTTTGATTTTAAATCTTAAATGTAGATATTTTCAAGATGAAATAATATTTTTTTCTTGCACTTCAGGTGCACATGTCACTTGAAGGTTATCATCTGGGTCAAACAGGACTTTTTAGATTCCTGTAGGTTTTCTCTACATTCATTCTCAGTCTGACCAGACAGTCATAAACACTCCAACCTCAGTGGTTGAGGCAGAAACTTTAGTGAGTACACAAAACAGTTTTTTTAATCACCAGCTGGTTGTCATTCACCTTTGTCCCACTTCAGGTCATTCACTGGACACGAGCCGCTGACATTTCAGCAAAACAGGAAAACGAGTGGCTCTTTGAGCTTTTGACTGTGGGATTTCAGCACATGTCAATCGTGGTCATTCCTGGTTTGCTTTCCAGATATCAGGACATGAACCTGCAGACAGGACATTTCAATTCCAACTAACAACAACCTTTTTGTGTGGGTAACCATTAACCTGGCAGCTGGGTCATCTAGTTCTTGCACTTTGCAAGCCGGTCGGGCTTTTTTGAACAATGAAGGACACGTTTATTTTCAGCTATGTCTACATTTTAACAGCTTGCCTAAAGTAGTGACTTTAATGAAAGCTTAATAACTGTAGCAACTCTCTTAACCAGGCTCTTAATTTGGACTGTTTGTGTAGCATCCTTGCTGGTTTTAAAACTATTTTAATTGACATTTCATGGGGGAAACAAAACTACTGCACATATTTTATGATTTTATTAGTTGTGATGGAAAGTTTGAGTTTTTGGAGATCCACTTATCATATTTTCTTGGTAATAGTTGTTTAAAACCAGGCAAAGCATGGAAAACAGTTCAGCTTAAGTTAGTGGTTTATTGATAGAAAATCCAGAAAGGCTGCACAACCACGTTTTTTTAATAAGTCAATTTTAAAAACAAAGAATATAAATGAATCAATGAATTGAACATATTAAAATCAATCAACATAACCACAAATCAAAACAGGCAGTGCAAACACCTAAAAACTTTGATGCATTAAAAACAAAACAATGAAGATATAAATGAAACGATTAAATGTTTAACTTTAAATACTTAAACATATTGAAATACTTCATAAAACCGAAATAATGACAAATAAATTCAGAATGTTAGAGTTTGAAGATTATGTTGCTTCTTTTATTTTATTGGTACTCTTGAAACTTTCAGCAGACTAAATATAAATGTAATTGTATGACTGTTTTAATTTGTCGTAATTTTAACTAATCTGGAGTAAAAAGCAGAGAAGTGAGACTTCCTTCTCTCATGTCTCCAGCCCACTGTTTGCACACTGTGACTGAGGACAACCCAGAACTGCTGCGCAGTTTGAACACTGCTGTGCTGGGAGCCCTGGAGAATGTGCTGCTGTCATCCCAGCCCAGCATGGCACACACTCTCCTCAGGACTTTAGCTGCAGGTACAGTTTGTCCTCAGTTGTTTCTTGTCTGTTTTCCAAGAACTGCTCAAAACTGTAGTGTAAATATACATGTAGGATATCTGTGTGTTTTTATAACCCCCCCGTGAGTTTCCTTAAAGGGATCCCTGATTAGTTGTAACATTAGACTTTATTTGATAAACATATATTTTAACTGTAAAATAAAGACTGTAAAAATACTGTAGGCTGTTTAGTTTAGTAAATTTTACGCGACGCGATATTGCCTTACATGTATTAGCTC